ATTCTGTTACTCTTTTGAGGAGTACCTTTCTTTATTATAAATACACTGCCCTATGTGTGGTAAATACACAAGGGAAGTTAACCCTATACAGTTTTTCCCTATATTCAACATGGTATCAAAAGCTTAAGGTCTCTTGGGATTTTTTTAGGCTCTGCCACTGAACCTGCAGCTGTCGCCGCCTCCATCGCCGCCGCCGCCGTCGCCGGAGTAGCAGTTCGGACCGCCGAGCACAGGGTTTTGCTCGCCTCCTCCGTGCGACCTCCACCGTGGAAGTTTCGCGGTCATCGGAGCAGCCACTCCCTCACGCGCCTCCTGAAGCCGCGCCACCTTCTCCCGTTCCGCCGCGCGTGGCGGCGCGTCTCGCCGCCGTTCAGGCCGCCGCTCTTTGCGCCGGCGTCGCCTCCTTCTCCTCTCTCTGGATCTGTCCTCGCTGCTCCAATCAGACCTCTTTGGTGTTTTAGGGTTTTTCTCTCTCTTCCTCCATGGCATCTTCCGCTGCCACTTCCAATTCTGAAGTTACCTCTGTCAGCTCCGGTGGGTCTGAGCAATCTGTTTTTAATGATTCATCTGCCTTGGTCTCTCACCGTGATGATCGTAATCGCTCTCACAAGCCAGACAAAGGGCGTGTCAAGTGTGACCATTGTGGCAAACTAGGCCACAAAATTGACAAATGTTATGCTTTACATGGTTATCCTCGCCGATCTGCTGCAGTTGCTCAGACTGATTCTTCCGCACAATCCTCTGCTGTGGATCCTCCTTCGTCTATACCTTCAGACAAATCTGCTATCTTCAATGATTTTCTTCAATGGTATGAGGATCGAAAGCCCTCCAGTTCCACTACTTCTGTTGCCCACACAGGTACATCTTTTGCTGGTCTGACTCACTCTTCTTCTATTGGCTCTTGGGTTCTTGACTCAGGCGCCACCGATCACATCACTGGTAACAAATCCTTATTTTCCTCTTTCACTTCTTCTCATAATTTACCCTCTGTTACAATGGCTAATGGGTCTACAACTTTAGCTCATGGTGTTGGAACGGTTACTCTTTTTCCCTCGTTGTCCATTGATAATGTTTTGTATGTACCCGGGTCCCCCTTTAACTTATTATCCATTAGCCGTCTAACTCGATCTCTTGATTGTGTTATCTCTTTTACCAAAACTTCTGTTTCCTTACGGGACCGGAGCTCGCAAAAAGTGATTGGCACCGGATGTGAGTCACATGAACTTTATTATCTTCAACCTTCTCCACATGTTGGCACGGTTATGGAGTCTCCTTCTCTCCTTCATGCCCAGCTTGGTCACCCTGGTCTGCGCAAATTACAAGCAACTTGTTCCCAGCTTATCCCAGGTTGTCCGAGTTTGGTGTGTGAGTCCTGTCAATTAGGCAAACATAGTCGTACTTCCTTTTCTCATAGTGTTTCCCAAGCGTGCTTCATCCCCCTTTGCCTTAGTTCACTCGACATTTGGGGACCCGAGTCGTGTTAAGTCTAATTTAGGTTTTCAATATTTTGTTACTTTCATTGATGATTTCTCTCGTTGTACTTGGTTATTTTTAATGAAAAATCGTTCTGAGGTGTTTTCTATATTCCAAAACTTTTATCATGAAATTAAAAATCAATTTGGTGTCTCTATTCAAACCTTTCGAAGTGATAATGGCCGTGAATATCTTTCAAACTCGTTTAAACAATTTATGGCTTCTCATGGCATTCTTCATCAAACTTCTTGTGCTTATACCCCTCAACAAAATGGGGTGGCTGAGCGCAAGAATAGACACCTTATTGAAACAACCCGTACTCTTTTAATTCATGGTGCGGTTCCTCAACATTTTTGGGGTGATGTTGTTCTTACTGCCTGTTATCTTATTAATCATATGCCCTCTTCGGTTTTAGATAACAAAATTCCCCATTCTGTTTTATTTCCTCATGACACTCTCCATCCTTTACCTCTGAAGGTTTTTGGGTCTACCTGTTTCGTCCACAATTTTGATCCTGGTCATGATAAGTTATCTCCTCGATCACACAAATGTGTTTTCTTAGGATTTACTCGATCCCAAAAAGGATACAAGTGTTTTTCTCCTTCTCTTAATCGCTATTTTGTGTCTGCCGATGTCACCTTCAATGAGTTTTCCTTTTACTTTAAGGACCCTTCCCTACCTGCTGAGTCTCCATCTGCTACAGTTCCCATTCCTGTTCTCATTGATCCTTATGTTGAGGACCATCCACCATTAGCCCCTCCTCCTCCACCACCCCTTCGGGTTTATAGTCGCAGACCTCGCCCACAACAGACGCCACATGACTCACTCCCAGTGCCAAATACTCTGCCTCCTCCGGTTCCGTCCACAGAGTCTGACCTTCCTATTGCCCTTCGTAAAGGTACGCGTTCTACTCGTAATCCTTCTCCACATTATACTGCTATTAGTTATCATCGAATTTCTTCACCATTTTATACATGTCTCTCGTCTATTTCTTCTGTGTCTATTCCTAAATCTGTCTCTCGAAGCCTTAGCCCACCCTGGTTGGCGTCAGGCCATGCTAGATGAACTCGGTGCTCTTCGAGACTAGTGGAACCCGGACGCTTGTCCCATTACCATCCTGGAAAATCTGTTGTTGGTTGCAGGTGGGTCTTCGCTATCAAGGTTGGTCCTGATGGTACTATTGATCGCCTCAAAGCTCGCCTTGTAGCCAAAGGCTATACCCAAATTTTTGGGTTGGATTATGGTGATACTTTCTCTCCAAGTGGCAAAGATGGCTTCTGTTCGTTTATTCATTGCCATGGCCGCTATTCAACAATGGCCTCTTTATCAACTGGATGTCAAAAATGCTTTCTTGAATGGCGATTTGCAAGAAGAGATTTATATGGAGCAACCTCCGGATTTGTTGCTCGGGGGAGTCTTACTGGATTGGTATGTCGTCTTCGCAAATCTTTATATGGCCTAAAACGGTCTCCTAGGGCCTGGTTTGACAAATTTAGTAGCGTTGTTCAACAATTTGGCATGACTAGAAGTGAGGCGAGACCACTCGGTCTTTTACCGATCACTCGAATGTCTGGATGTATCTATTTGATAGTGTATGTCGATGACATTGTTCTTACAGGTAGTGACCATCATGGCATCTCTCGGATGAAACAACACCTTTGCCACCATTTTCAAACCAAAGATCTTGGCAAACTCGGATATTTCTTGGGTATTGAGGTAGCACAATCTACCGATGGCATTGTTATATCTCAAAGAAAGTATGCATTGGATATTTTGGAGGAAGCTGGGTTGATGAATTCAAAGCCTGTTGACACACCCATGGATCCTAATACCAAACTCTTGCCAAATCGGGGGAGCCAATGTCAGATCCTGAACAGTATAGAAGATTAGTTGAAAAATTAAATTATCTTACGGTTACTCACCCCGACATTTCCTTTGCGAGTCGAGTGTGGTGAGTCAATTCCTCAATTCTCCTTGTCAAGATCATTGGAATGCGAGTCATCCGTATATTGAAGTACATCAAAAAGTCTCCTGGAAAAGGTTTGGTGTATGACTCCCATAATCATACAAGAGTTGTCTCGCTATTCGGATGTCGATTGGGCAGGATCTCCCTCCGATAGAAGATCTACATCTGGGTATTGTGTTTCCATTGGTGGTAACTTGATCTCATGGAAAAGTAAGAAACAAAGTGTTGTGGCAAGATCCAGTGCAGAAGCAGAGTATAGAGCTATGGCCTCAGCTACCTGTGAACTTATTTGGCTCAAGCAATTGCTTAAAGAGCTACAATTTGGAGATGTCACTCAAATGACACTAGTGTGTGACAATCAGGCTGCTCTCCATATAAGCTCTAATCCTGTCTTTCATGAGAGGACTAAACACATTGAGATTGACTGCCATTTTATTCGGGAAAAGATTATGTCTGGAGACATCAAGACTGAGTTCGTTAACTCATGTGATCAATTAGCAGATATTTTCACTAAGTCTTTACGGGGACCTAGGATCGATTATCTTTGTACCAAGCTAGGCACATACGATTTGTATGCTCCAGCTTGAGGGGGAGTGTTAGATATGATTAGATATTAGTTGATATTATTTGATATTGTTGAAATATTGTTAGATATTATTAATCACAATATCAAAAAATATCTTTTATTTACCCTATTTGTATTCTGTTACTCTTTTGAGGAGTACCTTTCTTTATTATAAATACACTGCCCTATGTGTGGTAAATACACAAGGGAAGTTAACCCTATACAGTTTTTCCCTATATTCAACAGTCCCCAAGCTAACTGATACCAATGTAATAATTCTTTATTTCTCAATAACTTGTAAGGTTAGGAATACCTTACACACTTCCACGCTAAAGCTTCACACCCACACTGCACACTACTCACTCACAATACCAACAAGGAAAATTGTCGAGGATTCACAGAAAAGAGAAAACTTTGATATATCCCTTCATGGAAGCCAACCACGCTATATATAATTTTGGTTTACACAACTTACCCAAAATTATTAACTAACAGAATTATTAAACGGTTATCTATTACAGAGCATTATTACAGCCTCAGGCTAGGGTTAGAGGGTACACAATTATTTCCCTAGATATCTGAGATATCAGGACTCTACTTCTGAGATAAGAGTCTAATCCTTTCTCAAATGATAAGATGAATTCTCTCTCAATCTTGCCTCTGTATTTACATGTAATATGCTTTGTTTCTTGTACTCTTTTAGTCTACCCAACTAACATAACCTAACTAAACTCCCTCTTTAATAGACACCCAACTAACTACCAACAGATATCTATCAATCTGATGCTCAAAAGTAAAAATCTATCATGGTAATGATCCTTGATATTTTCCCTTTTATATTGCATATATAGAGATCAGGGTGGGTATTTACATTGTAATGTGTCCAGGTCACTAGTTAGTTACAATCACTTTGTCAATAGTTCTATTTGAAAACAATCATTAATTATAAATGTATTTTAAGGTAAATGTTGTAAGCCACATCTTTATTGGCTTTGTATGACTATGTACTGGTTTCTTTTATGCAGCTATATTGAGTTTTATGATGTCATGTCTGTCCCCATGGCAATAGCACTTTCGGGCCAACCACTTCTAGGTCAACCAGTGATGGTGAAGCCATCAGAAGCGGAAAAGAATTTGGTTCAGTCCATAACATCTGTTGCTAGTGGACCCACTGGACTTATAGGTCCCTATTCTGGGGGAGCAAGAAGGCTCTATGTTGGAAATCTACATATTAGTATGAGTGAAGCAGATATTCGTAAGGTGAGCACTTGTTTCTTCTGTCCTATGATGCATTTGTGAGTGACTTTCTGGAACTGGTTGATGGAAAAGGGTTCTCATCCTATGATGCAATGCAAGAGTTGAATTAGTCTGGTCCCTGGATTGAGAAATTAGCAGCTCCTTTTCTTTTGCCTGTGCCTCTTCTTTTCCTTGTGTAACTTTTTTTTAGGATTCGTTGAAAGTCAATATGTTGTTTTCCTTTGCAGTTTTATTATATTATTTTTATTGCCAACATTGTTTCCAATTGATTCTATCATCCATTTAAACTCATTTGTTATATTGTTTAGGTGTTTGAAGCATTTGGTCAAGTTGAGCTAGTCCAGCTGCCTCTTGATGAAAGTGGGCACTGCAAAGGTTTTGGCTTTGTGCAGGTGAATTTTACCACTAGTAGCAATATATTGAGCAATTGTATTGAGTATTTGTACCCTTTATTTTCTTCAATTTTACTTATAGGCTATTAGCAATATATTAAGCAATTGCTCACACTAAATGGAAACTTTCAATGGACCCAATAATGATCTACTCATGAATGAAGTTGCTACTGAGTTCTGATGCAATTATTACTGCATAGCTTTATAGTAAAAGCTTTTTGCAAGCTGCAGTTGTTTCCAGCTATGTAGGTTAACTAAATTATTTATTGTAGTTTGTACGCCTTGAAGATGCACGAAATGCTCAGAGCTTGAACGGACAATTAGAGATTGGTGGTAGAACAATCAAGGTACTGTTGAATTGTTCATAGGTCTGATTTTGGTTGATTTTCTTGTACTAAAATTAGGCTTTATGAGTTTGGCTCCTATCAAATTTTATAAAATATGAATTGTTGAAATTTCATTATAAGTAGTCACCTTATGGACTACTTTTAATTTGTATCTCGAGAATGTGTCATATCTAACTGAATGCATAGACCGTCTGTGGCAAGCTAGTCGAGTAGTCATGCATTCAGATTGCTGCTGTTAGGTTGCTGAACTGATGGAGTCTTGATCGAATCCTTGTACCTTCTATATGCTAACTCACAAACCAGACCAGTTTCTTAGAAAGAAACTGTTTTTGGCAGTTCGGTGATCTTGTGGATGATTTTATTTTACTTTGGGGGAACGGGGAGGGGGGGTACACGTCTGTTATCTCATGCAAGGGTGGTTTATCATCTGTACTAGATAGTGTTAAAAGTAAAACAGGAACCATAAGATAAAGTAGTATATCTCTTTGGGGTTGTATATGTGCATCCTGGTGACGAGCTTTTGCATAGATGATCTATAATTGGATGACCTTATTGCCTCTAGTTTTTGTTTTATTATGAATCAGGTGTCGGCTGTTACTGATCAATCTGGAATGCAAGAAGTTGGAGGAAATACTGGTGATTTTGATGATGATGAAGGAGGTGGCTTGGTAAGTAATCTAATTCTGAAGAAAACTGGTTATGAACTATTAAAATTTTGCTAAATTACACATCTACGTGTTGTTTAGAAAGCCAGCATGGAACTCCAATAATGCCTTGTAAGTCGTAGCAGTCACATTTCATAACAGAGTAATCATATTCCATTGGTGTGGTTATACTGTAATTGAACTTGAGTGCTCTATTATTTTATGTTGGTGTAATCTTCACTATGTTTCAAATATATATTGGAGTCTGAATGAATGAATGAGTATTCCGAGGATTATTACTCGTTTATGTGAGCAATTATTATCTTGGGAACTGATGCTAGCTAAATACTTTAAACGTTTTTTACCAGAAAGATTATCTGTTCATGTTATGAAATATGAATATTAGAAGATTGGATTATTTTTGTATTAGCGTTTTTTAATCTTAGTAATTTTTTAAAATTAAATTTTCAAAGGGTTTGCTGTTAGTTAGTCATTACTGGGCTTGAATTTAGACCCTGCTTTGTTCAGCAGATTATATTAGTATTGTGCTTGAATTGAAGTATATCGATTTTTTTTTTTTTTGCACGTGTAAAAAGTCTCTTCTCCCTATTCCTTTTGACAAATACAAAATTTCAATAATATTGATATTCAATACGACGCTCGAAATGTGAATTGTTATTAGCTTCACAAAAATGTCCGTTTCTGCTTAAAAATTTGTATTAACTGGTACTTTTATATTTTTATTTTAATAGAATTTAACACGTGTTAGTTTTAATAGAAACCACACTGTTGTAGCTGACCTTTCTGAAATTTTCAGTCATTGAATGCATGTTCTCGAGCAATGCTCATGCAGAAGTTGGATCGCAGTGGCACTGCATCAAGGTTTGCCCCCTGCCATTTTTGCTTTTCACATGTCTAGATTAATATTAATAATCATTATCTCATTTCTAGTGCATTTCTTGACAGCATGGTTGGTTCCCTGGGTAATTCTGTTGTCAACAACACTGGTCTTAATCTACCAGCAACAGGAAACATAATCGCAGCTGTGCCCATGGGTTCTCCCCTTTCTTCTGTTCCTGCAGTAGCTGGATTGGCAGGCGGAGGTCTCCAAATTCCTACGGTTACAATTCCTTCTATTGACACAATCGGTGCTCCAAGTGAATGCTTAATGTTAAAGAACATGTTTGATCCCAAAGACGAGGTGGTTCAATAGCGCACCTATACTTCGTATTTTTGTTTCAACCTTTTTTGTCCAATAATATTACCGGCATAATGTGCTGCAGACTGAACCAGATTTTGATTTGGATATTAAAGAAGATGTTGAAGCAGAATGCTCCAAGTTTGGGACGTTAAAACACATACATGTTGATAAGTGAGTAAACTAGTAATCATTATGCTCATCTTTTAGTTATGAACTATAAGTCTGGCGTTTTCATTTTATTTATTATTTCTATGATCATCAGGAAGAGTGCTGGTTTTGTCTACTTACGTTTTGAAGTTACCCAATCTGCAATAAGTGCTCAGCGGTCCTTGCACGGAAGATGGTTTGCTGGAAAGATGATCACTGCAAGCTTCATGGTACATTTCATTGTCTTTATTCTCTTTTTTTTTTTTTTTTTTTTTTTGGATATTTACAAATTGTTGAACATCTTTTCCTAAACATAATATATTAAATCCTGTTTATGCTGGCAGGTGCCCCAGTCATACGAGGATAAATTCCCAGACAGCATATAAATTTATGAGTTGTTGCATGATGAGGAATCTCGTGGCCGAAATAATCATCGTCGGATTTATATTTCTAACGGCTTTTACTTGTCTTGGATTGGTTAAATAATGGTGTTTGTAAAAGCTGCAGTTATTACTTGCATAATTTTTTGGGGGTGTTGGTTTTTTATTCCAGAGTTCTATTACAGTATTACTGTTGTGTCTTGGCAGTGGCATTGATTGGAACAAGGGTTTTGTGATGCTACAAAAATTGTTGTAATTCAACTTGGGCTGGTGCCCATCACAGTTTTGATGTATCCGCACTTTCTTTGTGGGCCTATTAGCATAAGCCTGAAAAGAACTCCCGATTTGCTTGCTACCTACTGTCTAATCTATATTTACCTTTTATTTCCCAATGTTTCCACTAAAAAATAATAAGGGTAAAACAAGTTTAATAATATTTTAAAGCTGAAGTGGTGTCAATGTTCCAACCCATTACAAACATTACGAATATGACTAAGCAAGTTTTCGAGCCAACTAAAAAAATTACAAACTAATTTACAATGTTTTCCATTATGTTTACTAAAAGTAATTGATCAATTACAGGATGAAGAACAGTTCAAAATGCCAAATTATCTGACATAATTAGACATATTTGGCATAATTGTTGGCTTAATGATAAATATGTAATGTTATTTAGTTTTTCTATTTTTTAGTTTATTTTGGAGTGTTATCCTTTCTGTTTGAAGATCACATGTGTTAAAGACAACAAATACATCGTTATTTAAGTACTAATTATTACATATATTAATTTGTTTATTGTTATAATAATTATCTTAAAAATTAGATTAAATATTTTTTTTATTAATGTCAATGAAGTCTTGTTCAATTGGTTGAGTATAGTGAGTTATTGGATATCTCTTATGTACGTGTACGATCAATTTCTATGAATAAACAAAAAAAATGTAATTAGTTAAAAGTTAAAAATGGATAGTATATATAATGTAATAATTAAAATGAAGAATATTATATTAAAGCATGTAATAAATAAGGAGAGTGAGAAATAAGTTGTATATGCAAATGTTATTTCCTGTAATAGTATATGAGAAAGTAATAAAAATAAATCATAAATTATTTGATATTAATAATGAAACACGTTCTTGTTATATTCTCATTTTATTCCTTAAATTGTCGAATCACATTATCTCACCAGATGAGATTCATCTATGTGATTTGATCCCAAATGTTACTCATGACATGAGTTATTTTTCTTGTCAAACAAGGACATCATTCATCCCAACTCAAATTCTATTCTCTTAATAAATTGGTGGGATTGTGAGTGTGATGACATACTCCATGACGACATCCCATGATAATCCTCGGTTATGGTCACATCCTAGGTATCTCTTTCATCATCAAATTCAATTACGCCACTCTCCTCTTCATCTGTATCTGCCAACTATATAAACATTAACATTTGCACGCTGAGAGATATTCTTCAGTAAAAGTTACTGAATTATAGACCAAGAATGGAAACAAATTTAGCTGAAAATATTGTGATTGTGGGGGCTGGAATTGCTGGCCTTACAACAGCCTTAGGACTTCACAGGTATCTTTCACTCCCAAAGTATTTATGTATCTGATCATTATTAATTTTGTTATTTAATTAGTCTACTATTTGATTGATGTTAAAAGGTTGGGTATCCGAAGTTTGGTGTTGGAATCTTCAGATTCTTTGAGGGTCACTGGGTTTGCTTTGTCAATATGGAACAATGCTTGGAAGGCTTTGGATGCTGTTGGTGTCGGAGACATCCTCCGCCACCAACATCTCCAGCTCAATGGGTATATGCAGCCATGTGTTTTAAGTTTTCTCTTTTTAGTATTATTAATTTTTAGAGTGTTCCGTGAAATTTTACACTAGTCTTGTTAATCATAATTTTTAAGACAATTATCAATGAAACTAAACTAGAGGAATTTGAGTACAGGATCGTCACTACTTCATTGATTACAGGGCAACAAACATCAGCCATGCCTTTCAGAGCAACAGGAAACCAGCAGTAAGTAATTTTTTTTCTGCGAAAAATAATGTTATATTTCTATTTTATGCAGAACTTTTGCAATTTGAAGTATGGCTATTCATATGTGTAATTACGTTTGAGTTGTTGATATGATTGGTCTTTTTTTCTGATGCTGTAGGGATGTCGAAATCCGTTGTGTTAAAAGGAAGTCAATGTTAGAAGCCCTTGTCAATGAAATTCCAAGAGACACCATCAGATATTTGTCGAAAGTTGTTGCCATCGAGGAATTTGGCTTCTATAAGATAGTCCATCTTGACGATGGGACAATCATCAAAACCAAGGTAAATAATGCGAGTGCATGTCGTGAGAAATAAGCAAAGATATTTCATACATATAAGAAGCAAACAAGTGAAGCAACTGCTATGAATGCAAGTTTGTAAACTCCAACTGATACATGAATGTTTGCAATGATAAAAGGTGTTGATTGGGTGTGATGGAGTGAACTCCTTGGTGGCAAAGTGGCTAGGCTTCAAGAAGGCCTCTTTTACAGGGAGATATGCAATCAGGGGTTGTGCAGAGGTCAACAGCAGTCATGGATTAGAGCCCAGGTTTATGCAGTACTTTGGCAAAGGTTTTAGAGCTGGTGTTATGCCTTGTGATGAGAAGGCTGTTTACTGGTTTTTCACTTGGACACCCACCAGCCAAGGTGGATTTTCAAATATACAATTTCTTCATTGTGGAAATTTTGATTGCCAAAAATAGCATTCATTCATTCGCTAAATATGCCTATTATCTTACGACATTTAACATTATTCTTACCATTGTCATGTTTACCTTACTTTTCCACTTTTTTGGTCCTGTACGTAGAGAAAGAGCTGGAAGAGAACCCTGCCAAACTGAAACAATACGTGTTAAAGAAGCTTGAGAATATGCCAAGTGATGTTAGATACTACATAGAAAAAACAGAGCTGGATGCCATCCTATTAGCTCCATTGAGATTTAGGCATCCCTGGGAGCTGATGTTGGGGAATATTAGCAAAGGCAATGTTTGTGTTGGTGGAGATGCTTTCCACCCCATGACTCCTGACCTTGGTCAAGGAGGGTGTTGTGCCTTAGAAGATGGGGTTGTTTTAGCAAGGTGCCTAGCTGAGGCATTCTCCAAACAGAAGCATGCAGAAGAGGAGCAACACAAAAGGATTGAGAAAAGCTTGAAGAAATATGCAAAGGAGAGAAGATGGAGAAGCATTGATGTCATTGCTACAGCTTATGTGGTTGGTTCTATTCAACAGACTCAGTCCAAACTGGTTACCTTTTTTAGGGATACCATTTTGGCTTCATTTTTAGCTACTCAATTGTTCAAAAAGTCAGGTTTTGATTGTGGAAAACTAAATAATTCTTAGGACTTGTATGGTGAGTAAGATAAGTTGTTTACTATGATAGGTTTATAGGAGATCTTATTCTGAAATAAGTTTTAGTGATGAAAATAAGTTCTTTACTCTTCACAAGATTAATTCATGAATGATCAATTCAACCGTTGGAAATTATAAATGTTTATTTCTGATGCTTATATGAACTGATGACTCATAAGAAAAACACCCATTTGAATAAAAAATGTAAATAAATAAAAATTCCAAATATTATCATTTAACCAAATGAGAATTATTAAGTAAGCTAGTAGAAAATAAACTAGTTTGGTTAATATACTAGTTTAGTATTTTTAGATGTATTTTATAATTATTTTAAAAGGATCATTAGTTGAAACTTATTTTTATTATATATTTTTTACAAGGATTAATAATTTTAAAGGATTAACAACTTATAATAAGAAGAAAAAAAGAATGATCAAATATATTTTTTATGCATAAATATTTTAATATAAACGTAATAAATTAAAATATACACTCAATCAATAATAATATTCTAAAAGTTATAATATTATATTTATTTTTTATAAAAAATAAAATGTAAAAGATAATAATTTTAAATTATTTTATTATAATTTATATATAATTACTTTTAAAATAATACCATAGAATGGGGACTGAGCTGGGAAACCCAACGAGGATAGGAATAAGGACTTAATTTTTAACTCCAGCGAGGATCGGAGACGATTAAAAAGTCGGGGCAGGGGTCGGGAGACAAAACCCGCCCCGCTCCGCCCGTTGCCATGCTTACCAATGATGATGATATTATGATTGTAATTTATTTATGGTTCTAAATCTTTATCCATGATTAAATTGAAGCATTTAGATCTATTATATCTTTGAAGTTGGTGCAATATGTCTTTTCTTTTAAACGATTTTGTTGCATTATTATTATTATTATTATTTATACTGAGTTTTAGTGGCTGATATGATGTTTGATGAACATGGAAAAAAGATAGGAGAGGACAACAAAATGGTACAGAGTTGTATTATTATGAATTTGGTCGTGTTTTGATTTTAGTGATCGTATTTGTAATCAAATGAAGCTTTTTTAAGATAATCATTTTAGATCTTACTTTATTCTTGAGAAAAGAATATTAATATCTTTGAAAATAATTCTTAACAACTAGTATGTAAGGTCTATCTTTGTAGTTCCAATTGAGACTTTGAATCCTAGTATTAGGTTGAGTAGATAATTAGTGAGTGGGTTGGTAGAATTTTTTATTATCAATTAAACATGCAAACCTTAAAAACTTATGTTGGATTATAAATAATCAACATAAAATTATATCAATTATTTCTTCAATATAATTTTATATCTTTTATATTGACATGATAATTTGGTCAAATACAAAAAACCTAAAACAGATAAAAGCTAATATATAATAATGTTATTTATATTATTATTAAATAGTGAAGTTCTTAATGGTGAATCTTCAGTGACGATGGTTAAGGAAAGGAAAAATCTAGTGAGTTACTTTTTCTAATATTTTATTTCATTCGAAATTAGTTTATAAACCGAAAATGAAAGTGAAGATACGAGATCAGAAACTGTTACATGCACTCATGAAACACGTGTTTTGGGTTAGGTTTAAATTATGAATAATGATAAACATGTGTTTATTGAAATAATTACGCACAATTTTAATGATAGTATGTGTAATATAAAATAGACTTAAATATATTTCAGTTTTTACATCTATTTTTAATTATATAAAACATACTACTTTAACATCCTGATATTTTCTTTACAATTATTATTATTTTTAAATCTTCCCTTGATTTAATTAATTTAATGCTAATATGGTAAATAAAATGAAGTAATTGAAATAATATTTAAACACAAAAGAATATATAAAATTAATATAGTGCTGTCGTACGCTTCAAAAAGACAAAAATCACATGCATGGATTCTTGAGTTGGTGTCTTAACTAAAAGTCATATTTTTGTTCTTATCGCACCAATCTGAACAAAGACTTTCATGTGTTGATGCAAACTTTGGAAAAAAAAAAAGAAAAAGAAGCTGAAACAGTTTTTAATTTGGAATTATGAAATATATTTTTAACCTGTTTTTGAAAATAATTTTGCAATATAATAATTTCTTAAAGGATATGAAAGGTGCAATGCAATGCAATCTAGAAGTGGACTAAAACAGAGTTTATAAATAAATATTCCCTCACTTATCGGCTAAGCATTTTCAAAGATAAAAGAGAGTTGAATTTGATTTCCAAGAAAGAAAAGAAAAAAAAAAAGTGAATGTGAATATCATCTATGTAATAAAAAAATGAGTAATTCTGCTTTAAAATGGATGAAGCATGAAGAGATGAACGGTGAAGTAAAGTAAACGACGGAAAGAAGAGAGAAATGATATAATATGGAGTGTACGAAGGTGTTTGTGGGATTGTGATCTGGCTCAACAGTGTCATGTCTCTCTCGACCGTGAATTATTTTGGGTGGTGTGCGTATCTTCATTCTCTATTTAAATGCTTATTATTCTTTTGAACAAGTGCCCATACTTGTCTCAATAAACAATATTTCTTCTTCTTTCTTTCTTCCTTTCTATCTTTCTCTTTCTGCAAAAGAAGTAATCATGGAATCAGCAGTTGAAGACATAGTGATTGTGGGAGCTGGAATTGCTGGCCTCACAACAGCCTTGGCACTTCACAGGTTTCTTTTTTCATACAAACTCACGAGTTCAAAGAAAACCAGAAAGTTCAGAAAATTTGAATCCTATAAACCCTAAAATCTGATACTCTATATATATGCTTATTAGTTTAGGTTGAGTTTTGCAGGTTGGGTGTGAAAAGTTTGGTGTTGGAATATTCAGATGGTTTGAGAGTGACTGGGTTTGCTTTGACAACATGGACAAATGCTTGGAAAGCTTTGGATGCTGTTGGCGTCGGAGACAATCTTCGTCTCCAACATCTCCGCCTACAAGAGTAAGTCAATATTCATATATCGTCCTTTTTCTTCTATTAAATATAAATATATAATTACTTATATATTGAATATATAAATTACTTATTCAAAGACATTTTCATAATTATTCATTTATAATATTTTTTTTATTAATTAATGAAAAAGAATAAGATAAGATAGATAAATAATAATATAAAATTTTTAAAAAAATTGTTGAATGAATATTTGATAAAAATTACTTATTCAAATAAGATCAATTTTATACTATTTCGTCAAATATTTTCTTAATTCAAAGGTATGTTTTTCCCTGTATTTTATTTTTCAAATTGATTTTAATTTTGTATTTTAAAAATTTGATGATGTGATTCTTTAAAAAATATATATTATTTTGCACCCGTATAATGAAAAGGAAAATAGAGTATTTTTAGAAGTTGAAAATTTAACTATTCGACTTGAAAATACATGGTATAATTAAATTTAGTAGAAGGTAAAAAAAGAAAAGAAATTAAGAGATATCTATCTAAACCATATATAACACATTATTATTGAATATAAAAAATATCCGTAAACTTTTGTGACGTGTTGGATATTTTTTCATTAAATTAAGTTTAACAACTTAAACCACTACTTCGTACATAATAAAGTTAGCATTTTTATGTGAAACCTTATTTTACTTTACAAAAATACACAACTTGCAAATTTAAAATTATAATTAATATTCGCACATAAATATTTTAAAACAGACTACACAGTTGTTAATGTTTAACAATTAAAGGAATGTTTAACAATTAATATTATCTTATACTCATAAATAAATAAATAAATAAATAAAAGAAATGTTTTAAAAGTAAAATGATAAAAATATGTTACAAAATAAGTTTTAATATTAATTTAACCCAAGCAAAATTGTTACTTTAAGGTTGATTTAAGTCAGTTCACAGTTAATAGAAATTACTCTTCTATTCATATAAATATTTATTTTTCATTTTTTTCTCCTAAAAATAAGAGGGTGAAACAAAATTAGTGGAAATTTGAATGCAGGAATGTGAGTACATCTTTGAGCATAGGGCAAGAAACATCAAGATTGCCCTTCAAGGGCACAAGAAAAAGGTAAGTGGGTATACTCTAATTAATATTATATTTATTTAAGTTTTCATATATATATATATATACCTAAAAGACATATTATTGAAAGCTAAATTCTTAATTAATTCTGATTTTACTCATAATTAACGGGTAATTTCATGCATACAATGGAAGCAGTGGAGACTGTGAAGTTCGTTGTGTAAGGAGACAAATAATGTTGGAAGCACTTGCTAACGAGCTTCCAAGTGGCACCATTAGGTTCTCGTCAAAGGTTGTTGCAATTCAAGAATCTGGCTGTTTCAAGATACTCCATCTTGCTGATGGAACAACCATCAAAACCAAGGTAAATATGATTAGAAACAACGTGTGACGTACAAGATCTTTCTTAATAAGTTCATACGTGAGAATCAAACAATTTCTATGGCTGCAATTGAAAAGGTGTTGATTGGGTGTGATGGAATAAACTCTGTGGTAGCAACGTGGCTTGGGTTCAAGGAGGCATCTTTTACTGGGAGATACGTTATCAGGGGTTACACAAAGTTGATGAACAATCATGGGCTTCAACCTGATTTCATGCACTTCTTTGGAAAGGGTTTTCGATCCGGTGTATTGCCTTGTGATGACAAAACTGTTTATTGGTTTTTAACTTGGACTCCAACCACTGAAGGTGAGTTCTTTACTAACTTTATCATCATAATTATTCACTTCTACATGCATATCAGTTTAACTGTGACATTTAATGTATGTTGCAGACAAAGAGCTAGTTAACAACCAAGCCAAAATGAAGCAATTGGTGTTGAAAAAGCTTGAGAAAATGCCAAGTAATCTCAAATGGTGCATTGAGAAAACGGAACCAAAAGATATCTTAACATCTCCACTGAGATATAGACACCACTGGGAGCTTGTGTTAGGAAATATTAGTAAAGGCAATGTTTGTGTTGTTGGAGATGCTTCTCACCCCATGGCCCCTGACCTAGGTCAAGGTGGGTGTTGTGCCTTGGAGGATGGGATTATTTTAGCCAGATACCTAGCTGAGGCATTCTCCACAAAGCCTAACAAACATGGTAAAGAGATTGGAAAAAAGGATGAGACTAAGGAGCAGTACAAGAAAATTGAGGCTAGCTTGAGGAAATATGCAAGAGAGAGAAGATGGAGAAACGTTGATATCAGTGTTACATCTTATGTTCTGGGGTTTGTTCTGCAGGGTGATTTGAAAATGGTTGCACATGTTAGGGACAAAATTTTGCCTGATTTCCTGGCTGAGTTGCTGTTGAAGAAGTCAGATTTTGATTGTGGAAAACTTAATTAACACCTCTAATTGAGGTGGAAAATAATATGATTAACCATGCTCTCTTGTTCTTGGTGCTCTTGTTACCCATGACCAAAAGCATGATGAATCGAGGTTACTGTTACATTTTTGTGTTAGAATCAAGATCATGTTTACCCATTTTCATTTGACGATGTTACTTTAACACATTGCATATAAAGCCAATTTATAATGGATAATTAGCAGCGATATCAATGAATAAAGTTCATCACATATATATTTATTATAAATATGTTAAATGAGTATTTGTAGATAATGTGTAAGAGTATTTTATTTAGTTGTTTATTTTAGGTAATCTAATATTTAATTTAGGATATCCATTATGTATTAATAATTTTTATTTAATTTTTTTAAAATAAATATTAAAATAAATTATTAATGACAAAAATATTAATTATTTAAAGTTAAAATATAATTTTGTATTTTTTTTATTAAATTTATAAAATTAAACTTATTTAAAAAAATATTTATTCAAACTCATATTTTATACTACTACTTATTTAAATTAATATTTTATAAAGACTAATTTATTTATATTAATATTTTATAATTTTATTTTATTTATATTACATTTGATGATAAAAAATTTACTAAAATATATATTTTATAGAATATTTTTTAAATAAATTTATTTAAAATAAAATAAAAAATATTTGTGATATCCATGAATAAAAACATTTAAATATTTTTTAATAGATAACCGATAAACAGTGAATAATTTATTTTTATGTAGTAGGTAGTACGGCGTCACTTGATCATATTTTCATCCTCGTAATCAAACTATCACAGCCAACCTTATACTTTTTTTCATGAATAATCCTGTTTTCAAAAATATTTACCAAAATAGCACCTCTGCAACTTTATTTACACAACTAGCATTTTTTACTGTTCACGTAATAAAATAATATTATTTCGTGCATACATGTTCATCGTTCACGTATTAAAATAATATTATTTCAGCATCTTGAACTCTCGCTCAGCGAAGAAAACCTTCGCTTGAGCGAGGAAATCATAACGAAGGGGTAATGCAGGGTAAATTCTCGCTCAAGCGAAGAAACCCTCGCTTGAGTGAAAAGTATGATCGATTATTATCCAATTATAGTCGATCACTTTGACATATATGACTTTAGATAGCGGTTATTTGGCCAACCGCTATCTAAACTACTACATTAGAAAGCGGTTAAAGCCTAACCGCTATCTAATATATATTTTTAAAAACGGTTGTTATCAACTGCTATCTAAGGTGACTCAAGCGAAAATCACATCGCTTGAGCGAGGACACCTGGAAAAATGGGGGATTCTCGGGTTCTGTCTCGCTCAAGCGACATTATGAACGCTTGAGCGACAAGTGATTCTAATATGTGGTGAACCAAGTTTTGCAGTCCCAGTATTGAAGGTAACTCCCTCCATGGGACATGGGTTCATGAAACCATCATAGTGGACAATAGTAGACACTACACCCATTTGAGGAGTGTGGAACACAAAGAAGACTAAAGGTAAGAAGAAGAAATAATGCGAACATTGCGAAAATTTATGAAGAGATTCAATGAAGTAAGTCTCATAATTGACAATCTATCTTTAAATCTAACCATCCACGCCTTAATCAATGGGTTCAGGCGATGTCAATTCTTAGATAGTATATACATGGATTACCTAGTATTCGTGGAACTTGAGCTTCCCAATTCATACAACTAGAAAAAGATATAAAAATAAGAAAGAAGAGAGTTTTTCAAGAAAAAGAGGGACCATCATCTAATAGATATAACTCAAATAATAGGTATAAGAGAGGAGACAAAAGGGAAAAGAAAAGATTTACTCCTCTAAATGCTAGCACCGAAATAGTTTGAAACATGAAATTTGAAGCTTATCAAGCTACCTAAACCCATAAACACACCATTAGATGCAGATAGATCAAAACGATGTGTATGACACCAAAATTATGGTCATGATGCAAAAAAGTCCAAAAAATTATAGAAGATCTTGTTCGTGCTAGAGCTCTGGATAGATTAAGTGAACACTGCAAACATGACAAATGATACAGATAAGACCGATGATATCAAAGCCGAGGACAATATGGAGGCTAGAAGCAGGAGCAAGATTATCACCAAGGTGATAGATAACCTAACACAAGTCATCCACATAATGATCAAAGTGATGGACAAATCAAAGGTGTTATCAATATTATTGTTGGAGGTTTTGTAAGGGGTGAAAACACAAGCTCACCCGAAAAATGAAACTTAATGGCAATACACAATGTTAACATAACCCAAGCATTGCAACCGAGGACGTTACCTCCTATCTTTTTTTTTTATGAAGATTTTAGTTCCCATGATCCTTAGTAAGACGATCCTATGGTGATCACTATCTACATTGCAAATTGGGAGGTGAAGAAAATATTGATTAATCAAGGGAGCTCGATAGATATCCTATATTAGTATACTTTTAAAAAATTATTGTCTCTCATGATTTAATTCAGCCTTACCATGATCCATTGATAGACTTTGTAAGAGAACAAGTTCATACTCAAAGGTACATTGATATTTTGACCACTTTTGGAAAAAGAGAATTAAGTAGGATTTTGATGGTAAGATATATATTGACAGAAGTAGATACCCCTTACAGTGTACTGGATGAAGAACCCTAAATCAACTTGAAGTTATCATAACTACTTCTCATATGGCTATGAAGTTTCCAGTTGAAGAAGGGCGAATAATAACACTCAAGAAAGACCTAAAAGAAACTAGAGAGTGTTATGTTCTTAGCCTTAAAATTCAATTTTATTCTTTAAAGAGAGGCATGGAAGAATCCACCCAGATAAACTTGATTTTGCATATTTGAGAAATAGATGTTGATCCTCGACAAGAAACAAGAAGTGATTATCCAACCTTTAAAGAACCAATAACTGAGCTTCAACTTGAAAGCAAACCTAAACAAAACAACTTGAATTGGGGAGGTGACAGAGGTTAATCTTCAAACCCATATAGAAAATATACTTTAACAAAATACTGACCTATTTACATGGAGTGCAGTCGACATGTCAAGTATTATCCAGACTTTGTGTCATAAACTTGCTCTTTCACTTGATGCAAAACCTACTACTCAGAGAAAACGAAAACTAGGAGAATAAAGATGAGAAATTGAAAACAAGAAGTTGAAAATTTATTAAAAGCAAATTTTATTAGAGAAGTAACATATACAACCTAGTTCGCTAATGTAATGTTAGTAAAAAAGGCTGGCAAAAAAGGTAAGATATATGTTGATTATACTGGTTTGAACAAAACATATCTTAAACACTCATATTCATTACTAAATATAGATCGATTAATTGACAACACCATTGAACTATGAAATTCTCATTTTTTTAAACACCTATCACTACTACAAATAAGGTCTTCAACGTCGGTTCTGGAAGGCCAACCGACGTTGTATCAGGCGACGTTGAAAGTCTGATTTTTCAAATTAAATTTTTTTATTTATTTCCAACCTTTCCAACCCCTCTATTTATCTAGAAATCCCCCCTCTCTTTTATATTATATTTTTATTAGGTCCCTCTCTCTTTTATATTATATTTTTATTATTTATCATATTTTTTTTAAGTTTAAAGCATTACCAAATTATTTTTTTGTCATCGACAGGATTCGAACCCAGTACCTTAGTGTTGGAGGTCGATACTCCAACCACTAAACTACTCGAATTTTTTGATAGTAAGTTACAAATAAATTATATTTATATACAAATAAATATATATCCGTGTAAATATATAAATACATATATATATATTTTGATATATTTATATATTTTGATATATTTATATATTTTGATATATTTATATAATTATATATTTATATATTGGATGTGAGGGCACGCTCGAAGGTGAAAGTGTGTGTCGAGTGGGTTTTCAAAATTTAATGTCAAATTTGTGAGCGAGTCTCTATATATGGGTTTGTAATTTAATGACGGAATATAATATTTATAATTTATTTATATAATGATATAAAATAAATTTGAAAAACGCATCATTCGCTCAAGTGACACATTCGCTCAAGCGAAAAATACAAATTTTCGCTCAAGCTAGGCTTGAACGAGTGAATTTACGTGAGCTTTAACGTATTTTCACTCAAACGAGAGTCAATCTCACTTTCACCCTCGATCGCGCCCTCACATCCAACATAAAAATATATAAATATATTTGTATTTATATATTTACACGGATATATATTTATTTGTATATAAATATAATTTATTTGTAAATTATTATCAAAAAATTATAGTAGTTTAGTGGTTGGAGTATTAATTTTCAACTCTAAAATACTATATTCGAATCCTATCGAGTGACAATTCTCTAACTTAAGTGAATTTTTCTTGAAAAAAATAAAAATACTTTCCGAGAAAATATATATAAATAAATATATATTTACACGAGATATATATTTATTTGTATATAAATATAATTTATCCGTAAGTTATTATCGGAAAATTATAGTAGTTTAGTGGTTGAAGTATTAGCTTTCAATTCTAAAATACTAGGTTTGAATCTCGTCAATGACAATTCTCTAACTTAAGTGAATTTTTGGCTGAAAAAAATAAAAACACTTTCCAGAAAATATAAATAAATATATATTTATACGAAATATATATTTATTTGTATATAAATATAATTAATTTGTAAGTTATTATCAGAAAATTACAGTAGTTTAGTGGTTGGAGTATCAACTTTCAACTTTAAAGTACTTGGGTTCGAACCTTGCCGATGACAATTCTTTAACTTTTTGGTGAAAACACATTCAACGTCGGTTCCAGATGAGCCGATGTTGAATGTCAACTTTCAACGTCGGTTCCATGAACCGACGTTGAATGTACTTTCTACGTCGTTTTTTAATCAACCGACGTTGAAAGTTCAACTTTAAAGTACTGGGTTCGAACCCTGCCAGTGACAATTCTCTAACTTTTTGGTGAAAACACATTCAACGTCGGTTCCAGATGAACCGACGTTGAATGTCAACTTTCAACATCGGTTCCATGAACCGACGTTGAATGTCAACTTTCAACGTCGGTTCCATGAACCGACGTTGAATGTACTTTCTACGTCGTTTTTTAATCAACCGACGTTGAAAGTGCATTTAACGTCGGCTCAGCTTTAACCGACGTTAAATGGCGACGTTGAAAGCATATTTTGTAGTAGTGTATTCAGGATATAATCATATATCAATGTATCCACCAAATGAGGAAAAAACTACTTTTATTACTGAAAGAGTTAAATTTTGTTACAAAGTTATGCCCTTTAGATTAAAGAATGTTGGTGCAATTTACCAAAGATTATGATAAAGTATTCAAAAACCTAATAGGAGATATCATGGAGGTTTATGTAAATGATATGATTATCAAATTAAAAAAAAAACTATTGATCATCCACAATATTTATAAAAAGTTTTTGTCAAAGTTAAAAAACATAACATGAGATTAAATTCAGAAAAGTGTGTATTTCGAATAGAAGGAAGAAAGTTCCTCAGATTCATCATAACCTAAATGTGAAACCATTTTGAATATGCAAAACCCTATAAATATTAAGGAGGTACAACACCTAAATGGTAAATTAGTTTCACTAGCTCCATTTATTTTTAAGTAAGTTGAAAAAGCAAAACCTTTCTTAAATTGTTAAAGATAATTTAAAATTTTGAATTAAAAATGATATATTCTAAAAAAAATCAAACTCAATATAGCTTTGTTACCATTTTTCACCAATTTTAACTATAAGTCAAAAGCCAATATTTTCCTATATTTTAGCAACTTGAGATTTAAACATAAACTTGGTATTGATAAATTGTGAAAACAATCTTTTTTTTATTTATTAGGAGAATTTTATAACCAACTCGAAACTAGATATTTTATTATAAAAATTAATTTTAACCTTAATTCAGCTAGAAAATTAAGGTAGTATTAATTTTCTTTTAGTAATAACAATCTAAAATACTTATTTTTATTTAATTATTAACATTTAATCTTAATATATTCTTAAATAAATTACTTTAATATTTATATTTATAATAAATAAAAACTATATTAATAGAATAAAATTATTTTAATTAATAATATATTTTTATTTATCCAATTAAATTATATTTTTATAAAGAAAATAATATTTATTAATTTGTCTAATTGATATTTTTTATTTTAAATTAATTATATCAATAATAAACTTTCTTTTAAAGTTTAATAATAATAATAATAATAATAATAATACTATTTATAACAATAAATATATAAATAATAATTATTACTATATTAATAATAATACTAATAATTATTTCAATAATAATAATAATAATAATAAAATTTATTATAATTAATTGATATTTTTTATTTTAAATTAATTATATCAATAATAAACTTTCTTTTAAAGTTTAATAATAATAATAATACTATTTATAACATTAAATATATAAATAATAATTATTATTATATTAATAATAATACTAATAATTATTTCAATAATAAAAAGAATAATAATAATAATAATAATAAAATTTATTATAATTAATTGATATTTTTTATTTTAAAATAATTATATCAATAATAAAATTTCCTTTCAAGTTTAATAATAATAATAATAATAATACTATTTGTAACAATAAATATATAAATAATAATAATTATTATATTAATAATAATACTAATAATTATTTCAATAATAAAAAGAATAATAATAATAATTAAAATAAAATTAATTGAAATAATAATAATATTTTAAATAATAATAATAATACTATTTATAACAATAAATATATAAATAATAATAATTATTATATTAATAATAATACTAATAATTATTTCAATAATAAAAAGAATAATAATAATAATAATTAAAATAAAAATAATTAAAATAATTATAATATTTTAAATAATAATAATAAATAATAATATTTATAACAATAAATACACAAGTAGTAATTATTATTATATTAATAATAATATTAATAATTATTTTAATAATAAAATAATAATTATTATTATAATCATAAAAATAATAATTATTATAACAATAATAATAATAATCATATTAATAATTAAAATAAAAAGAATTTATATAATTATAATATTTTAAATAATAAAAATAATAATAATTTTTATTAAAAGAATAATTTTATCATATTTTATTATTTTTATTATTTATATAAATCAAATTACTCACATTTTTTAATATTTATTACTATCTTTCTCTTAATACAAATAATCTAACCTTTTTATATTTATTTTCATCGACACTCTCAAATAGATGTGCAATCCAAACAAGGATTATAAGTGAATTAAACAATTTAAAATAATATAACAGAATAAAAAATATATTTATACATTTTCAAAATATAAAAGGTTATTATGTTGAAAATATTGTACAACTTAGGATTTATCCAAATAAGGATTATAAGTGTGATCTTAAACAATTTAAAGTAATATAACAGAATAAAAAATATATTTATACATTTTCAAAATATAAAATGTTATTATGTTAAAAATATTGTACAACTTAACATTAATGGGAAAGTTGTAAAAAATATTAATTAAAATTAAAAAATGACTTCACTGTTTCAAATTATTGTTTAACGTTTTCAGATAAATATTTTATATTTTTTCTTCGTCAGTCTTTACAAATCAGTGAGATATTAATTTTGCAATATATTTCAAATTGTTATATAGAAGTTATGATGATGATTTAATTTTAACATCCAAGGAGTCATGAAAACAGGTACATAATATGAGATGTAAAAAGAAAATAAATGTATGCAATAAAATATTATTACACATATTATTTTATATATTTAAAAAACTAATATTAGAAAAACGGTTATAAAAAAATTATTTAAAAGAAAGTAAAAAATAAAGACTATGTCATAGTTTGTTACCCGAAATAAATGAAGGTATTTGAACAAAATTATACTATTGTTATAATTTAACAATTTTGAAGACAAATTTAGTCTTTATACTAATAATTTATGAATGATTTAAGGTTTACAAGTGGGATGAAAAAAAAAAAAAAGAAGGGGACTGTATTTGAAGAGGGAAAATAAACGAAGAAATAAACCTTGCGTGACTTGACCTAAATCAATTTATACCTTACTTTAAGCCATTAAAAACTCAGCACTGTCTTCGAATGAAAGACTACTTTGGAATGAACCCTCACCATTCTTGAACTTCCACCTTTTCATCATTTGCTTCACAATCAAACGTGTTATTATTATTATTATTATTATTATTTTCTTATTTGTTATTATGAAAAAAAAACCTAACAATAATAATGTATTTTACATGTATTCAGTATTTTTTTAAGCTATTTCTTCTTCTTCTAAATTTACTCATATTAAATAAAAATCAGAAAAAAATTAAACAATATATAACTAAAGACTCGCCGTAAAAAATAAATATCTTCCTAAAATTTCTAGATAAATATCCATGAGTTGTTATAAATATCCTTTTATTTATAATAAATAAATTTAATTTAATTTGTTTGTACTATCGTGATAAAAGTTATATTTATTCTTAAAAGTGTAATATTTTATCTTAAAACAAACTCTTGTTTTTAGTTTTTCTATTACAGAACATTTATTCGTGTTCTCTTTTTTTATTAGTAAGAAAAGTGAAATTCTGGTTATTGATTTATTTATTTAGATTTAAACTTTATAAATAAACATAACTTTTCGAGTAAAAAAAAAAAAAACTCAATAGTTTTGATGTAGTCTTTAAAACAAACGGTGGTGATGGGGCTAACAGATAGCTGGATATGGAAGCAGAAGCTACCAGAATGAAATGACGAATTTACCCCATTAGTGCAACAAATACTCGTTCCTCTGTGCAGAGCCTTTCGCATATTCTTGTTCCTCATCGTCGTCTTCTTCGTCTGATTGATTTTTGTAAGGTATGTTTCCAATCTCGCTCTCGCCTTCCAACCACTACGGTTTTTGTTTCTCCGCTTTTTTCAATTTATTGCCAAACGTCGTTCTTCGTTTCTCTATCTTTTAATTTGTTTCTCAAATGATTAACCTCTCGGGCGCCGATGCAACCTTGAAGCGTAGCTTGTTCGGTTGTACTTTCTTCTATTCTCGTTTTTCTCTTTTCATTTTCGATCAACTTGGCTGCGTGCTTTGCGCCTTTTGTTTTCATTCATTTGAATGTTTGAGCTGCCTTAGGGTATATCAATCTGCGCTTTGCTGTTGATTTTGATTTCGGTTTTGGATACTGCTAATTTTAATGCTGTCTGATTGAGCTGAAATGGATTATTGATGATGCTCTCTGCGTGCGAATTTGAATTCGTAAACTGGATTGCGTTTGGCAGCAGAACCGTGTTTTTTATTGATTCCGCGTGTGATTTCAGATCCAGAATGGGATACCCTTTTGTTTGTTGACGTTTTGATGAGAGTCGGGGGTGATTTGGTTTGCTTGTTTCTCTCTCTCTCTCTCTCTCTTTTTTTTTTTATCGTCATGTCACATTTTACCGAAAGTTTTTGGAAACATTTTGTTCAAATGTGTTTTAAATATCCACATTCATTACTATTTAGCTAAAGGATGATTTTGCCCCATGTCGAATTGTCTACTGAGTAAACCATAAAGGGTTTGTCTGGATTTAGACTATAAGTGCTTTCTTTTGAGAGCTCTCTACTGTTTGAACTTTTTCCAGTAAAGAAGCTTTCAAAATCCCGTTGTTTGTTTGTTTCAATTTCTGAATTTAGGGTGAATTAACAAAATTTAAATGACAATCTATTCACGTTGGTATGCTATGATTATAGATGGGAGTTCAACGGCATGAAGCGCTTGCTGAAGACGAGCCGGCTGAAAATGCTTGTGCCAGTAGTTCTTTGAACCAAGGTTCTCTTCCCAGTGAGTTTGCCAGCAAGAATCCATGTGTAAATACTGAAAGTAGTGAAGTTAATGAATCGGGTGACATTTCTTATGAGAAAAGCAATACACCACATATCTATAGACAAGATGTTGTGAAAAATAATACTAGTGGCATGATTGGGATTGTGACAGAGGTAGCTGGTGATTCAGATTCGGATTCAGATAGTAGCATCACTGATGATGAGAATGATAGTGACGATGAGGATGGGGATGGTGAGGAAGGCGATGACAGTAATATTACTAGCAGGAATTCTGAAAGTAATGTTGCTGCTGGGCATTGTAAAACCGATGCTCTTCTGGCTGACCAGTTGCGTGTACTGTGGATGGACGAATCTGAATCCACTCAAAATTTCAGTGATGTCGAAGTTGTTGATCGTGGATTTTTACATGGTGATTTTGTTGCTTCGGCTTCAGATCCTACTGGGCAAGTGGGTGTGGTGGTTGATGTCAATATATGTGTGGATCTGTTGGCCCATGATGGATCTATAGTAAAAGACGTCTCGTCAAAAAACATAAATCGTATTAGGGATTTCACTGTTGGTGATTATGTGGTGCTTGGGCCGTGGTTAGGCCGAATTGATGATGTTTTGGACAATGTAACTGTCTTATTTGACGATGGTTCAGTTTGTAAAGTCTCCAAAGCAGATCCATTAAATCTTAAACCAATTTCTAAGAATATTCTTGAAGATGGGCATTTTCCTTATTACCCAGGGCAACGGGTAAGGGCTAGCTCCTCATCTGTTTTCAAGAATTCAAGATGGCTGTCTGGCTTGTGGAAAGCTAATAGGTTAGAGGGTACTGTAACGAAAGTTACAGTTGGATCAGTGTTTATTTATTGGATAGCATCTGCAGGTTATGGGCCATATTCTTCTACTGCCCCTGCTGAGGAGCAGAGTCCAAAAAGCTTAAAGTTGTTGTCTTGTTTTTCTCATGCAAATTGGCAATTGGGTGACTGGTGTCTCTTACCCTCATCAGGACTGTCATCCTCAGCTTCCATGGACAAAGGCATATCAAAATTGGAACTTAACGATGCTACTAACAATGCATTAGATTCTAATCACACAGGAAGTGGGTGTGATTCCGAAGAAGCTACTGTTGAGGAAACAAATGGGGTTAAGGATACTATGGACCTTGATCCAGCTGATTCTTTGGAAGGGAATGATGGAAATGAGAAAAGTAATCCGTCACGTGATTCTAGTTCATGCAGCAGTTCTATATCCGTATCAAAGGAACCTGTCCATGAAGCTTGGCCTCTTCACCGCAAGAAAATTAGGAAAGTTGTCATCAGGAAAGAAAAAAGGGCCCGAAAGAAAGAGGAAAGTTTTGAGAAAGCTCTTTTGATTGCCAACACAAGAACTAAAGTTGATGTTGCATGGCAGGATGGAACAATAGGACGTCAACTGAATTCTACAAGTTTGATTCCAATAGATAATCCTGGTGACCATGAATTTGTTTCAGAACAATATGTGGTGGAGAAGACCTCCGATGATGGTGAGGATATTTCCGAAGCTAGGCGAGTTGGGGTTGTGAGAAGTGTTAATGCAAAGGAGCGGACAGCTTCTGTGAGGTGGTTAAAAAAGGTTGCCAGAGCAGAAGATCCTCGAGAGTTTGACAATGAGGAAGTTGTTAGTGTGTATGAGCTAGAGGGCCATCCAGATTATGATTACTGCTATGGGGATGTGGTTGTTCGCCTGTCGCCTGTGTCTGTACATTTAGAAACAGCTTCTGTTGGAGAGTCCACTGAGAAATCGGAGCAAAAAACTGAGCATGCGATTAAAAAGGAAGCAAAAACCAAAACTGAAGCTAATAAAGTACAAAATGCATCTGCTGATACTTCTGTCCAATTTACTGACCTCTCTTGGGTTGGAAATATAACTGGCCTTAAGAATGGTGATATTGAAGTTACTTGGGCTGATGGGATGGTGTCAACGGTATGCTAATTTTATTATATTAATTTTTTTCATTATTTCCTGCTATTCTCCCTCTCTCTCTCTCTCTCTCTCTCATATATATATATATATATATATATATATATATATATATATATGTATATGTATGTATGTATGTATGTATGTATGTATGTATAGCATCTTATTTTAGTCAATGGGAACTGAAGAATTGCTTCAATTATTTTAATACCTGGTGGAAATTTAAACGTTCTAAAATGCTTTACTGTTACAAGAACTTTACACTGAAGAAGGTTCCTTTCTCTTGCTCTGAAGATTTCTGGTGGTCTTTGTGAAACTTTGGCAATTAGATTGGAAATTTGCTTTGGGATGCTTATTAGGCCAGTAAAATCAGACTCAGCCTTGAGTTTAAATCAATGAGTTGAATCTTTAAGTTGCCAAACATATTTCAGAAGATTGAACAAATATTAGGGAAAAAGATTGAAAGAAGAATCTACATACCTTAGTTTGTAGTTATGTAACTTCACTGAAGTAGAGGGAACATTCAAACTTGAGGAGCAAGTAAACTTAAATGTGTAGAACCTCTGTTTTCTTATCTACCAATGTAATATAGCCTAATGAGTCCCCAAGATATCATAGACCAAATTCAACCAACAAGTAGAAAGTACAAAAAATACCCAAAACCCTGAAACAAACACCTAATAAGGATTCGCTCTAGCACACTGAATTAAACTTATTGAATAAGTGCTTATCATGTAGGCGACTAGTACTTATACATAAATTGCTTTCATAATCAAAGAAGAAACAGTGTTTTAAATCCTGGATAGGTGTGCCTAGTGGCCTCCCCCTAAAATGCTATAGTGGATAGTATCATAGTAGGATAGCTCTAACAACTAAATAGATAAAAAAGTTCAGAAAATGTTTGTTGGAGTTTAATATTATAATAAAATCTTGGTTGGTACATGATCTTATTTTAGTCATAAGCTACTGGAAGTTTATTTTAATCAAAATAAAAGATTATATATCAAATTTATATTTTAAGCCACTTCATATCTGATGATACATGCTTCCACTTTAATTTTCATTGATTTACTTTGTTTCCAGGTTGGACCCCAAGCGATTTATGTGGTTGGTCGAGACGATGATGAAGAATCAATTGCTGCTGGGAGTGAAATAAGTGATGCTGCTAGCTGGGAAACTGTTAATGATAATGAAATGGAAGTTCTTGAGGATTCCAGAGAGGTTTGTTTCCTTTTCCACGTGGACCATGATTCTTACAAACTTTCAACTTGTTTCTTTCTGAGAGGAAGCCTAAAGAAAAAACTTTTATCCTTATCTAAAGTTGCTTCCACTCATTAATAAAGGATCTGAGATATGGACATTGTAATTTCCCAATCTTGTAAATTTTGGCTGTTTTCCCTTCACGGGCTTGCTCTTCTTTTTCTTCTTGCCTTTATGCTATCAGTAGCAATGCTTCTAATTGTAAATGTCTGTTTAATATTTCAATTTAGGTGATTGTGATCATAATCTCGTTTCAAAAGGTCTTGAAATTTTTGTGATAGACATCCTATTGACCAACTAAATATGTAGTTATTAGCCCCTTTCTTAAATTATGATATATTATGACATGCAGGATATTGAGAGGGAAAACTCAAGCAGTCTTCCTTCCGAGGAAGAAGAAAGTGGAGAGAATGATTTTGGTAGGGCTGCTGCACTTTCTGTTCCTTTAGCAGCATTTCGGTTTGTCACTAGACTTGCCACTGGAATATTCTCAAGGGGCCCAAGGAACATGGATCCTGTTCACATTCAGATAAAAGCTGGACATGAACATCCATCACCAGTACTGAATGATGATTCTAGTTCTCAGAAACTTATTGCCATTGATGGTGATAATTCAGGCAATAAGAATGAAAGATATGAGGAGGTTGTTTCAGAAGCAACTGAAACTCTGGAAGCATGTGAGACACTTTGCAGCATGAAAAATCAAGATGTTCTTGCAACTTGCGATAATGGGAATTGCAGTTTGAAACATTTTGACATAACACAAGATCCATCAGACCACTACTTTATTGGTGCAAATGGACAGGTACTGCTTTCGCCTTATATCCTATTAAGTGTAGGGAAAAGGAAGAATGGATAATTTCATGTTTATTGTATATTATGGGCTATTAATATACTCCTACAAACTTGATTTGGTGTACTAACAAATTAAACTCAATGGTACTAATGTAGTTAACAATTTATCCATTTTTTAAAAAATACTAATTTTGTAAATTGCTCTCTCTCTCCGAATCATTCCTTTCCCTGTTATTGTATGTTCTCTTGTAGGAAAAACCAAGTAGAAGGAAAATAATTATATTGTAAAAAAAAAAACTCACTGCTTGACATGATAGTCAACCTTGGCACATCTGTTCTAAATTCAAATTTAGGTATTAATGTAGATTAGCTTCCTATATTTAGCTAACCAGAGATCAACAGTGTCCATCATATAGAAGCATCAAACATATGAATGTGCGCACTAACTTATCTATTCAAATCTTAGCTTCTTTTGTATTTGGTTCCCTTTATTGTATTATACTGCTATCACTAGATTATTTCCAATCCACTTTCAGAGTAACAACCGGAAATGGTTAAAGAAAGTGCAACAAGATTGGAACATACTGCAGAATAACCTTCCTGGTCAGTGATACATTTATTTGATCATCCATCTTTTGCAGCAGTGAGTTATACACCCATTTTAGTAAAGTGTAAATGTTTGAAACATTTTGACAGAGGAAATCTATGTACGAGTTTATGAAGATAGAATGGATCTCTTAAGAGCAGTTATTGTAGGGCCATATGGAACCCCTTACCAAGATGGACTCTTTTTCTTTGATTTTCACCTTCCGCCAGAATACCCTGATGTTCCACCGGTAAGGAATTTTATCTTGAAGATGTTTTGCTGTCCAATTTATAATTCCCTCACCAAAGAAACGGAAGATACTTAAATGTTATTTATTTAATCCAAATGGGCATGTATATAACGCCTTTTCTGTTTTGTCTGGTTTTCAAATGATATGCAGTCTGCATACTATCATTCTGGTGGCTGGCGGATTAACCCTAATTTGTACGAGGAAGGGAAGGTTTGCCTTAGCCTTCTAAATACATGGACAGGCAGAGGAAATGAAGTATGGGATCCAAAATCCTCTAGCATTCTTCAAGTCCTAGTTTCACTGCAAGGTTTAGTACTCAACTCTAAGCCTTACTTCAATGAAGCTGGGTATGATAAGCAGATTGGAACAGCTGAAGGAGAGAAAAATTCATTGTCATACAATGAGAATACATTTTTACTTAACTGCAAGACTATGATGTATGTCATGAGAAAACCCCCCAAGGTAATAATGAATGAGATTATAAAATTTTCATTTCATCCTATTCATTTTATTGAACACTGTTCATATTTTATCATGATTAGTTAATTAGTTAAAAGAACTACTGTATTGTGTATACTTTTTTCAGTAGACTGAGGGTCTGGATATAGTTCGTGTCTTCATTACTGAACTCCTAAAGTTTGATCACAGGGTTAGCAAAGAAGCAGAAGCCTATTCTGGAGAACTTGCATGTTTTGATTAGCTTATTTTGGGAATATTTCTTTTTACTAATTTACTGAGAGCTTTGAAAAAAAATAAAAATTACTATTTCAAGGAGTGTATGAATTTCTTTTAGTAATTGCCACATTTGCGTGTTTCCTTGGCATTAGTTTTTGTGCAATCTAGTAGGAGTTGTTGAGACTGGTGTGGTTTCTTTGAGTTGTGCGAGGCGTATTTGACTGTTGTATTTGGCTATAGGATTTTGAAGTGCTCGTCGAAGAACATTTTAGGAGGCGGGGCCATAACATCCTTAAGGCTTGTGATGCATATATGAAGGGTTGCTTGATTGGCTCGCTGACTAGAGATGCCTCCATAAGTGAAAAGAGCAGTCAGAATTCAACCTCTGTGGGTTTCAAGTTGATGTTAGCCAAGATAGTGCCAAAGCTTTTCTTGTCACTAAGTGGGGTTGGAGCTGATTGCGAGGAATTTAAGCATCTGAAAGATTTGTAGCGAAGATATGGTGATACGTCACTTCCGGGAAGCCACTTGGTATGCTGACTCTGCCCAAATTGAAAATATTTTAAGGTACCAACAAGTGTCAATGTTCTCGTATACTGTCAATGTTTTGATTTCTACTATTTATACCCATCCATATCTCGTTTAAAAGATCAATTTAATTCTAGGAGCTTGAAGGAATATAATTGGTGGGACTTATTTTACGTTGAGAGAAGCAACTAAGCAACTACTGATAGAGCAGGCCGGATATCCTCTTGATTTTGGTCATCTGTAGTGGAAGGCAATGTTGGTTACTAACTTGTACACTGTTTACCTTCATTTTTTATTTCTTTTATATCTGGCAATTAACCGAGCCAAATGGCAACGTGTGATCCGGGCAGCCAACTTCTCGTAGTGAGATAAGGCGTGGTTGTCGTCGTTTTATATCTGGGGGGAGGGTGGTGGGAGTCGGAGTTGGATTTTCAGAGGTATTTTAAAGAATTTGGTTGTCTTGCATTGATTGATTTACCTTCTGTTTCTCAAGATACAATGAATTGAATATAATTGGAGAACCCCATCCTCTTCTACAATGGATACTTTATGAATTCAGTGTTAAGTTGTAACTATTTTCTTGCTGTGATGCTTTACCATATCTTATTCACTTTTCTTTTTAACTATTAATTCTACTTGGGACAAAGGTATTAATTTTCTTACTTGTATTGCTTATCATTTTTGTATACTATATAATAAAAGAAACTTGTAACCCTAAGATTAATTTGGAACCTGTAAAAGTTCGTTGCCCGAAGCTAAACGATAAATGGATGAGCTCATTGCCATCCATGATTTCCACGCCAGACAAATTGAGCAGCATGCTCTCCTTCATGGCATCCTTGTATACTAAAGGTAGTTTTTGGGCGTTTCCCTACTTTGCATTGCATTAAAAGTTAAGAACTACGAAGTTTTTTATTCTTCAAATTCGGTTTCTGGATTTTTTGTTTCCTTTTCATCAGTGTCAGTATTCTGTTTCGCCTGCTAAATGTTTACACGTCTCCTATTAATGAGAACAAAATAGAAAATTTATGATGTTCAGAGATCACATAAAAACCTTTTGAAAGGTAGATTAAGGTATTGGTTGGTAAGTGGATGGAACAATTTATCCGTTCTATATTCTCTTTAGTTATGTATAGCTCTTCGGTTTCCTGTGTAGTGCTGTTGTATTTAATTTTAAGAGCAACCAAACATTGAATAAAGTTCACGTTTTATTGTGTCCCATTCGAATACGTCCATCAAACATGACTTAAATTGATAAGTTAAATATGTACTTAAAGGATAAATGAACAATTAATTAATGGAATATATGGGAAAGGTTAAAATAATTAGATTACAATTTAAGAAAAAAAAAAGGCATTCTCTTCAAACAGAGGTGTTGCTACATCACTGCATCCCAACCTTGGTGGTCCCCTCTTGTGATGATGTTGCTGGACATGTTCAATTTAAAAGAATAGGTTACTAACTGCTAGTGGGAACTAAGAAATTAAATTTTGATTTTGAGTTATGTCGACAATTAAATTAAGTAGTATAAACAAATAAAAGGCAGGTTACATGAATTATGAACTAAATTGGATTTACTGGGTTTCTCTTACTTTATTTATTTATTGAGACTAACTCATATTTACGTAAAAAATAATCTTATTTTTTAAAAATCATCTTATGCATAATTAGGCTTCAATATCATTATATTAATATAAATTGAGTGGAAGTAGATTGAGTTGTTGGATCAAGTGCTTGTATTGTATCTCTTCTAAATTTAAAACTTCATCTTCTTATTATTTTCAGAATATGGGCACCTACCTACCATTATGAGTTGTTGGAAAACATTTTTAGTTGTTATAATTGACTCACCACAACTTAATTTATAAATTCGTAACAAAAGAACATCATTCAACCACTCTCGGGCCATAATATTTATCAGCTCAAACAAAATCTTTTTTAGTTGGTTGCCAATAGCAATCCCATAAATTACTAAACCTAGAGCACTAGCAAATTTAGGTGGCCCATATGGCTGAAGCTCAAAATATTGGGCAACAATCCACTAAAATAACAATTCTTCCATCTACAATTCTTTCTTGTTGCTGCAAAATCAAAATTATCAATTCTAATAACTAAGATTTTTATGTTGTGTGTAGGGGATTTTTATAATAAAAAAATCTACTATAATGTTTCAAACTCATTTGTTTAATTTTCTACTTGTTTTGACTAATATTGTTACATTATAGGGATTGTGTTTTCGTAATTACACGAACACAAAATTTCTAAAATTTTATGAGTTGGAGAATTTTTTTAATAAAATTATTTCACTACACTTTTTTAAGGTAATTTTATTTTTATTTTTTGTGTAGTTTTGAGTAATATTGTAACATTTTTTTATAATCTAGTTTTCGTAGTTATTATAGTCAGAAATTTCTACAATTTTTTGTGTTTGAAAATTTTTAGTAAAAAAATTTTACTCCACTCTTTTAAGTTCTATATCTTATTTTCTATTTGTTTTGAGTAATATCTTTACATTTTTGGAATTAAGTTTTCGTAGTTAGACCAATTAGAAATTTCTACAATTTTTTTTGAATAAAAATATTCCACTGCACTCTGTTAAACTCGTTTTTTTCCATTAGTTTTGGGACATATTCTTACATTTTATGAATTCAGTTTTCGTAGTTACACCAGATCGAAATTTCTACAATTTTCTGTGTTAGGAAATTTTTTTGATAGAAGAATTTCACTCGCACTCTTTTAAGCTCGTTTTATTTTTCTATTTGTTGTGTAATATTCTTACATTTTAGGGATTTAGTTTTTGTAATTACACTAGTCATAAATTTCTACAATTTTTTGTCTTGATTTTTTTTAAAAGATTCGACTACACTCTTTCGAGCTCATTTTTTTTAATATTCTAGTAATTTTGTGTTGGAGAATTCTTTCAAACTGCACTCTTTTAAGATCGTTTTGTTTTTTAATTTTTTATTTATTTTGAGTAATATTTTTACATTTTAGGATTTTAGTTTTCGTAGTTACATCGGTAAGAAATTTGTACAATTTTGTGTTGGAGATTTTTTTTATAAAATTTCACTCCACTCTTTTAAAGCTTGTTTTTTTTTCAGTAGTTTTTTTGGTGAGAATTTTTTTAGTAAAAAAAAATCTACTGTGGTGTTTCAAGCTTATTTTTTTATTTCTTTTGAGTAATATTCTTACATTTTAGGAATTTAGTTTTCGTAATTATACCAATGGGAGATTTCTACACTTTTTTTTATGTTGGGAATTTTTTTAATAAAAAAAATTCTACTGCACTCTTTCAAGCTCATTTTTTTCTAGTAATTTTGAGTAATATTGTAACAATATTTTTGGAATTTAGTTTTAAGTAGTTACACTATTGAGAAATTTATACAATTTTTTATGTTGGAGAAAAAATGTAGTAAAAAAATTCTACTACACCATTTTAGGCTCTATAATTTATTTTCTTTTTTTAGTAATAATTTTAAATTTTTGGAATTCGGTTCTTATAGTTACACCAGTAAGAAATTTCTACAATTTTTTGGGTAAAAGCATTCCACTACAGTCTTTCAAACTCAATTTTTTATTTTTCTAGTAGTTTTGTGTTGGAGATTTTTGTAATAAAAAAAATTCTACTACACTGTTTCAATCTCATTGATTTAATTTTCTATTTGTTTTGAGTAATATTGTTATATTGTAGGAATTGAGTTTTTGTAATTACACGAGTATAAAATTTCTAAATTTTTTTGAGTTGGGAATTTTTTTTTTAATAAAATTATTCCACTACACTCTTTCAAAATCGTTTTATTTTTATTTTTCGTGTAGTTTTGAGTAATATTGTAACATTTTTTTAATCTAATTTTCGTAGTTACAGTAGTCAGAAATTTCTACAATTTATTGTGTTGGAGAATTTTTAGTGAAAAATTCTACTCCACTCTTTTAAGCTCTATATTTTATTTTCTATTTGTTTTGAGTAATATCTTTACATTTTTGGAATTAAGTTTTCGTATTTAGATCAATTAGAAATTTCTACAATTTTTTTTTGTTGAGTAAAAACATTCCACAACACTCTGTCAAACTCATTTTTTTTAGGGAATTTTTTTAATAGAAAAATCTCACTACACTCTTTTAAGTTAATTTTATTTTTCTATTTGTTATGTAATATTCTTACATTTTAGGGATTTAGTTTTCATACTTACACTAATCAGAAATTTCTACAATTTTTTGTCTTGGAGAATTTAAAAAAAAAATTCGACTACATTCTTTCAAGCTCTTTTTTTAATATTCTAGTAATTTTGTGTTGGGGAATTATTTCAATAAAAAAATTCATCTGCACTCTTTCAAGATTGTTTTGTTTTTTAATTTTCTATTTGTTTTGAGTAATATTTTTACATTTTAGGATTTTAGTTTTCGTAGTTACACTGGTAAGAAATTTGTACAATTTTGTGTTGAAGAATTTTTTTTATAAAAATCCACTCCACTCTTTCAAAACTTGCTTTTTTTCTAGTAGTTTTTTTGGAGGAAATTTTTTTAGTAAAAAAAATTTTATTGTGGTGTTTCAAGCATATGTTTTTATTTTTCTATTTGTTTTGAGTAATATTCTTACTTTTTTGGAATTTAGTTTTCGTAATTACACCAATGAGAAATTCTACACTTTTTTTTTTGGAGTTTTTTTTAATAAAAAAATTTCACCGTATTCTTTCAAGCTCGTTTTTTTTCTAGTAGTTTTGAGTAATATTTTAACATATTTGGAAATAAGTTTTCGTAATTACACCATTGAGAAATTTATACAATTTTTTGTGTTGGGGAAAAAATTTAGTAAAAAATTTCGCTACACTGTTTTAGGCTCTATAATTTTTTTTAGTAATAATTTTATATTTTTGGAATTCGGTTTTTGTAGTTACACTAGTAAGAAATTTCTACAATTTTTTGGGTAAAAACATTCCACTATAGGCTTTCAAGCTCAATTTTTT